GGAAAAGAAATAAAACAGAGCAAAGGAAATTTTTACTTAGCAAATCCTGAAATCAAAACCCACCCACTGGTCCTTTTTCTTCACAAAGCAACCCTGTGCTCTTCATCTCCTTCATGCTAGGAAAAGGGAATTAAGAGTTTTTGTGAAAATAAAAGAAACCGAATATAGGAAAAAAAAATAAAGTAAAGAAGAAATTTTCTCTTGTAGACACTAATCTAAGGAATCCCGGTAAGGTTTGTTGCTTAATTTTCTTTCAGTCGATGCAAAAAAAAAAAAAAAAAACCCACCTTTTAAATCTTAGTACCCACCATTCCTGTCAAAATCAACAGTAGATGCCCGGAATAAATTTAATTCTTGACACCCAAAGTCTGCACAATAAAAATAATTCAAAACAAAGAGCAAAAAATATTTACCTATGAGAAATTAGAATCCACTCCAAACATTAGAACAAACCAAGCAAAGAGCACCAAAAGAAAAACAACGCTCCCTAAGATTTTACAATGGTGGCTGAATGCAAAACCATAAGGAGTATTGGCATTCAGGTGCTTAAATCTCAAAATTCAGCCAAAGCGTGGAAGGCTATTTTCCTCTTTAATCAGAATCAACAACCAAAGATTAGTCTTAGAAGACAATCAAAGACGAAAATGGAAATTGATCAACCAAAGCATTGCCAAAACACGAGCGAAAAAGAAGAACCTGCCTTTGTGTTGAAATGACCTAAAAACCACCCCAATATGTGAATGGAGAAACAAAGATAGGAAGGCACAACAACAAAAGGTCACGAAATGACAAACATGCCCCCCATAACAGGTGAAATGGAGAAGCAAAGTTATGAGGGCAAAAGTGGAATCCAATGTCAAATGAAAAAAAAAAAAAAAGCATGCTTGACTTGGGAAATAGAGTGAGGAAACTTGGAGGACAAAAGTGAAAAATTAAAAAGTACAGTTGCAATGTGAAAGGAGGGGCTTCCAGCCCTCAACCTATTTGATGTTGAGGTAGAATTGCTTATTTTATTTTTACTTTTTTTTGGTAAATAGCAATAATATTATTAGTTTGAGTACAAGGGATACTTTACCCTTACAATTCATCTCAAGATTCCTCCACTTTTTGCCTGTTGTTATGCCATACCATAAACTTGAAACACAATTTTTGTTCATGGCTTGTAACATGTTAATTGTAGCCATGATGACTTCTTAAAATCCTTATTTTTACTAATGATATTTTTACTAATATAGTTGTTATTTAAATATATTATATAAATTGTTTTAAACAATAAATTTATTCAATGCACCCTATATACTGCAAAGTTTGAGACAAAAGTATCGAAACTTATATTGTGGTGTCAACACTTATGTTTCATTGTCCACATCAACCCTAAGTGAACTACCACATGTCATTTTTTTACATGTCATCAATTTACTGAGTCCCACAAATAGAATCGGTGTTTTGTTGACTCAATACCAATATTTAATTAATTCTTGAATAGTAAAATAAAAAAGGTAGTATTTTTGATTAAAAATTTTTAAAATGTGATAACTTTAATTAATTTTTAAAAAAAGTGATACTTTTAATTAAAATTTTTTTTAAAAGTGTTGTACTTATATTTGGGAAATCTCTTGTAATAGCTGGCAAATTGCCAACTTTCTCTTTTCTTTATTTTCCTAACCCCTCTATAGAGTATAAGATGTTACAACAAATAAAGTATCAGACTGTATAGAGGAAATATTTATTTATATATAAATTTTATATATACAAAATCTTGGCATTCATTCTTTTTTTTTTATATATTGGTTGCACAACAGGAGGCAACCCTCTTCTATCTCTTATCCTACCCCACTCGTATGCCATGCAACTTGAACTCAGGATCTTTTATTTTCAACGAAAGGAGATTACTACTGAATTATTTAGATCATTGGCCATTCTTTTTTTTTTTAATTGTTAAGATTTAACACAATTTTTTTAGGTAAAAAAATAATTATTTTTAATAAATATGATAACAAATAAATAAATCTTAATCATTAAAAATAAAAAGATAAATAGTCAAATTTTTTTATAAATATAAAGCTAAATCCCCTATTTCCACCCTAAACCTTTTTTCTTTCAACGGTCAACACTCTAAATTAATTTTTCTCGTGGTCAACATCTTTCATAATTTGAAAGCCACAAAAAATCCAAAAATTAACTATTAAACCCTCCATTTACATAAAAAATTAATAATTTAACCCTTTATTTGTGCTCTGACTTTATTGGTAATTTTGAGTTTTTTATAGGTTTAAAATTATAAAAAGTGTTGATCAAGAGGAAAATTAATTTAGGGTATTGACCGTAGAAAGAAAAATGTTCAAAGGGTAAATAGGTGTTTTAAATTAAATATAATATATGAAATTTATGTATAAATAGAGATCTATTCTTTTTTACTTAGTTATTAATGATTCTTATCTCTCTCTCTATATATACATACATCTGAGATCTTTAATTTTTACCCCGTCTTGGGAACTTCCACGGCTGCTACGGCACCATTTCGAGCAGCGTCTTTCTCGGCCCCGGCATTGGCCTCGGCCTCATTCTGCTTCCCCTGCAATGTTTTATATATGACCCTCTTGTAAAATTTTCTGGTCCTAAACACAAGAAAAAATGTAACAAGTGCACCAAACAATGTTGTCCCTGTAATTATGATAAAAGGTAATTTGAAGCAATCAGTGCCGGTGCAGTTCAGGTCTTGTCCAGGCTTCCTCGTGATTCCCAGCACTGCCATTTTCTTCTTTGTCTCGTCATCGTACAAATTTCCAACCACCTTCACGTTGAGGACGTAGCACCCAATAGGACTCGCCACGCCCGCGAAATTGTATAGTGTGGAGTAGTACTTGAGTCCGAAGAGTTCAGAAATTATTACAAGAATCAACGGGAACTGCGCTCCGAAACAGAATCCGATGATTAAGGATGCAACATAGAGTCCATCAGGGATGTTGAGGGCAATCAGGAGGTGACCAAGGCAGGAGAGGAGCATGATGAAGGTAAGCAGAAGAGGGCGAGGAAATTTGTACTTAGCCAGGATGATGTCTGAGGCAAAACCCGAAATAACTCGGCCGAGGAAACTCCATATGCTAACAAGGGAAACAAAAGTGCTTATGCTTTGCTTGGGGTACCCTTGGGAGGCTCCGATCTGTCCCAAGTTGTTTATGGCTGTTAAAGCTCCCCCGATGCCACAGATTGAAGCCAAGAAGAGGATTAACATGTCAATACTGAAAAGTGCCTGCATAATTACCAACACAAATTTATTCTTCCAAGTTTTATAATTTTGGGTTTAGAATGCAATAAAGAGATACTTTTATAATTAATTTATATAAAAAAATTATAAAAATTGATATTTATATTAACATTATTAACACGTAAATAATT